GCCACTTGATTTTGGGATCCCGGAGTGAACTGTGTTTCAAGATCCATGTTGGTTTTGTACACCAATAACTGTCCACTCGACTTACATGGGTAGTTTTATCCTATCACCTTGTGGTCAAAAAATAGCACTTTTGAAGGGACAAACTGCAAATTTCTGTGTCGTTCATCGTCTTCTCCTGCGGACAATGCAACGTAGTTTTTTTCGCGATAAATCGGAAGGAGCCAACATCTAACTAGTGCTACCGTTCGCAATAGCAATATTGGGAATGCGAACCTCCACGGGTGTATCCACCCGCGCAAAAGATCATAGTCTATCCAAAAAATTGGGTTCATCTCAATTCGGTCGAAATTCTGACCTACAGTCGAATTTCAGCATATGTGACTGATTCTGCTCTCAACAGCGAAAGATAAGCAATAGACACTATTGTTTAGCGAGAGAGTAGTATCGGTTGTATTAACTGGAATTCGACCGCAAGTCAGGATTTAGATTGAATTGACGTGATCCCCGATGTTTTGGACACAATGCACGTACGCCTCTACGTTTCCAAGAATAGGAACACTGAAAGCCGCCTTCGTACCGTTCAGTCAGTCTGTCTATAGAATTACCACACAGGACCTTCCTGTTTCACTTCCCAGAGAGTTTAATCAGCGTGTTTCTTCCCCTTTCCGACCACATCCCGATCTCCACGCCATCCGCCTTTCTTTTTGTGTTGAACCAGTGTTGCCTAACCTTTCATCTACCGGTTTTCTGTGTGCACTTTTACGCTTGGTTGGTTGTCTACATGGGTGAATCCGGAGATCAGCGACTTTCACATTTTCATTCAAATAATCGGTTTGCCATGCTTTGTGTTGATGTCCTTCTCTATGCGTTGTCTGTTGTTATCCTACAACACATAACAAAGGAAAACATTTTCTGGAAAATCATCTGATTTACTGGGTCTTCAGGTGTTGTCTGGAAGGTTACCGAATGGTCCAGTGCCCACAGGGCGAGGATCGACGGACTGTTTACTGAAATTAGGAGTCGTACCGGGACGTAGCCGCTTTTCAAGCGAATCAACAAAATAAGGCGATTACCAGTAACAGTAAGAATGCACAAATCAGTGGTATATGTGGAAACACCGGGCTGGATCACGTCGAGCTCTACTTTGGGAGTGATAGACTGGCAGCTGTGTCCACAATAAACTGACACCGAAAGCCGCATTGGGAATAAACCGCTTTGTGCAGCAAGTGGTTGAAAACATTCACTAATTTTAATGTAAACATCTCATTGGAATAATCCTTCGAATTACCTCGATTCGCATTCGCCTAGTTGTATCTGTATTGGGGACACACCTTACGGATAAGGCCGGTCCTCCTACAGGAATACCATATCTCTATATGGAAGCGCCACATAATAAGCACCAGTTCAGCGGTGTTGAATTTCGCTCACGATCAGCCGTGGTTGTTGGCTTCGACTGAGGTTTTTGACGTGAATTGTGGTCTACGGAACTGAATCTGTTGTAATGCGCCACGGAATGTCCGGACGTCATGTCGGAAACGTCAATGGATTGGTCGCATATTGACCGGGTTTCAGAGGATGCCGGGTCTGGCTTCAGTAACAGCTCCCTGTGCAGCTCCGGATATTTCAGGCCAGCAGTTTATGGATCACATAGTCATGTCTCCAGCTGGCCCCAAAGTTGCATCTCTCAGCCTGCTCCTATAGCGTGAAGATGAATTCACCGAATTTCACAGAGACCAAGGATAAGCGAATTAAATTTGGTTTTCTCTATCGCCTGAAAAATGACCGAAGCAACGTGGCCTAGGAGCACAGTCTTCAACATTTTCGAATGAGACTCAAGCATGTGCTCTGGGATATGCAAGGTCTTTCACAAACGAGTGCAACGAACCACTGCTTGCTGTCAAGAGAAACGCAGGATGGTTCTCCTTTTTGACTTTCTTGCGTAGGCTGAACAATGGCGCGAATCTTTCAACCAAATCTTCAGTTCGGAAGTACTGGAATGCAGGTTCTGCTGTTCGATACCAGGCAGCTCCATGACGTGACACCAACTGTGCTATTAGAACTTATTAAAATCACTCCAACCCAGAACTACGCAAACCGAAACAACCAGAAGACCAAGACTGTAGAATTGCAGAATTCCTTTGTATAAATACGGTAAATCAAGGAAGATAATTGGTAGATTACAAGTCAGCCAGTCACGGCGGGATTTCGTTGTACCTGTATAGAGCGTGTATTGATATTTACGCCTCCGTCCGGACGTTTTACCGATTCGATTTTTTTCTCAGCCCTGCTATACCGTTCACTCTCATTTACTTTTTATGCATATTGATCCGTAGCCAGCTGACTACTGACGCACGCACACGCACGTACGGTCCTTTCGTGTACTGGTTTGATCGTTCACTTTACGAATACACGCGCTTGCAGTCACACAGTGTCAGCCTCTTTATTACACCTGGTCACGGCGATTCTGATTGGCTAGAGCTCCTCAGCACACTTAGCCATGAAGCTGTACCGGTCTGTGTCCCGTGTGACGCCTGCTGGGTCAGCACAGCCTGTCTACTTGGTTTGTAGTCAATCCAGATACCAGAAGGTTTGGTTCTGGACCAACCCAGTCCTGCAACAGCATCTTGCACTTTTAGGATGCAAAGGCATTTTGAACATTGCTACGCTGTTGTTTGAGTTGTCCAAAAAAGCTTTCAGCTTCCCGGATTTCCACTTAAAAGAACTGTGCCGTCTGCATATTCAGGGTCTCACATTCTGGATACCACTATCCTTACATGACAAAAGGACGGTCTCTAGTATAGAGGGCAACCCTGACGCACACCTCTTTTTGTGGTAAACTCCATTGAGAAAACATCAGAATCCCGAACCTGACTTCGACTTTTTATGTACAGGGAGCTTATGATGGAAACGAATTTCTCTGGTACGCCCTTCAATAAGAAACAGCCCTAGAGAGCTGTTCGGTTGACTGAGTCGAAGGCCGCATTTTGATCCAGGAAAATATAGTTCGTGGGCCTACGTAAGGTGCCCGTGTTTTAATAAATGTCCAGCAGTGGAGATGTGAACAACATGACCTCGACCAGATCCAAACCCAGCTTGACTCTCGCGTGGGCACTATTCGCCAGTGTAGTAGAAGCGGCGGGGAATAATAACAACGAGCAGTTTAGATCCGATTTTAATCAGAACTATCACCCTGTAGTTCTCAAGAGAGGACTTGTCGCATTTCTTATAAACCGGTAAGATCGCTGTTCAAACGAGCTCTTTGGAACTTATTATTTCTTCCATATCCAACCGACAAGTTTTGTACACCGTGACAGTGCCGAACCACTGACTTTGGAACCACGAAGGCAATCCATCCGGTCTAGTAGCCTTATGTCGGTTTGGATACCTCATCTGGTAGGAAACTTCCGCTTCTGATGGAGAATTGGTATCTACATCCAGAATTTTAACTATCATGTTACTCAGTACACCCGTTAGGGATAAAGGCGAGTTAAATTGTTTCTCGAAATTATCCGTTAAACGATCCAGACAACGCTTCTGAGTTTGAGTTTGTGAGCCGTTCGCCGCTTCTATCAGTACTCCAACGCCTGGATTTCGTGTACCGGCATTTCTGGTTAGATGGAAAAGGTTACCACTGTTGTACTTTGCAATGCACTATTGATCACGGTCATTTTTCGGGCTCCAAATCCGTTGACTTTCAAAGTATCTCCGAGCCTCATGAAATATGGAATCTGGAGGAATCGATCTACGTGCATCTCACAGTGCAACTGAGGATGCGGATTTCCATCGTTTCTGTCAGGGTCCGGTTCTTGAACGTCGGGCAGCGTCAGCAGCCTCCAACAGAGCTTGGTTGACCTCGTTTCAGCGCTCATCTAGATCCTAGGCATATGACTGCATCAGAACCTTCTTGGATAATTCTGCTTGGGAAACATCAGTGGTTATCGTCCAGTAGCAGTTGTGTGGACGGTTGGCTTTGGCGTTGTTTCGGCCATTGACGAGATGTAATTTGGAGCAAGCGCGGACAGTAGCGTAATCAATGTCTATAGAAATGATTCGAAATAATCAAGTCTTGAATTGATTCACGCCAGCTGCAACCCATAGCAATGCGGTCAGTCTGGATCCACAGCTGTGGAGGCGTAGGAGGAAGCACGGGTAAATGATGCAAATTATTTGAGAGAAATTTCTAATCGCAAGGACTATTCTGTGGTCGGAACGCGGATAATATTTGAATTTTGGCATCTTGCAAGGCTGAAAGCAACATATGATCGACAAACTTGTACTAATTAGTACACATTTTTATAATAAGAGTTATTCTGCACATTTAACGTTCATACATAGTGCCAAGAATTCGAAAACCTGAAGAATCCCATCCAGTGATGAAAAAAACATAAGCGCGAGTCATTGCCATATATATATATATATATATATATATATATATATATATATATATATATATATATAAGGTATGTATGTATATATGAGTCCTGTTATCTTAGATCAATTTACTATTGGCCTATATAATTCGTGTACCATGGAGACTGGTTAGTCCGCTGCCCACTAACAACAATTGTAAAACTTCGACTACATCATGCTGCGAGTTTACACAATCCATTTGCGACTGCACCAATCATTCTTTTGCACCTGAAGATGCACGAATAAGTTCCATATAGGTTGGCCCCACGGTTACAATTAATCGCCTAAATATCTGTGGAGGAACCGACATTTAACCGTGATGCGTTCACTGGCGAACCTCACTGGACTCTGGTACGTCGTCGTCTCGGCGAGGAGAGCCGCGTCAACCAGAGCGCGGGGTACGTACTTCTTTTGAAGGATCAAATTTTCTTTTATGGACGCAAGAAGCTCGCCTTGACAGAAGTGAAATGTTAGATTTACTCATCACCCTATCGATAAAGATTAATTCAGTATCTACATGCACTGAATCAGCAGAAATAAGGACTTCTGTGGTTTGTTGCGATTCCTGATTAGGATCTCGCTGCTTAAGTTCAATGCAAAGGCTGATTATTCCGTTTGGGAGCAGTACACAGCATAACTTCTTTCATTAGTTCCTGATATTTAACTTCAGCCTCAGTCATAGCTTTCTTTTCTCTTTCAAGTTCTATTTCTCTCAATCGATTATGCACGGAAAAATCATAGCCTTGTTGTCCTGAAAGGTCAAGAGCATACTGTGTTGAACGTCGGTGTCGTTCCTTTTCTTTTTCCAACAAAAGTTCATTTTCACGCTTTACTGTTTTCCCAACAATTCGAGGGATTTCGGTTTCTAATTCTTGTTCGGCTGCTTTTTCCTCTTTTTTTCTAAGACTGACGGCTTTGCGAAAGTCCTCAACCTCCTTCATAAACATGGTTTGTTTTTCCTTATTCTTAATTCTTTGTCTTTGTTCTTGTAACCGTTTTTCAGTGTACACATCCCTGTGTAATTTATCAATACACTGATTATATGATTTCTCGTTTATCGATTTTCGTTTCTGGTACCGCATGAATTGCAGTTGTTCCTCTCGAAGAGCTTCTTTTTTCACTGTAGCATGTTCACAGTCTGTTACCATTATTTTATTGCAGAACGCTTCAACAAGCTTCTCTTTTTGTTTTTCTTCGTCCCTAGATTTTTTCAGGGCATCAACGCCTTGCTTCACGTTTTTGAGCAGTTCGTCCTTCAGTTTTATTTTCTCTTCAGCACTTTCTTCTTCAATCCCTTGAACTTCTAGGATTGTTCTTGGTCTCCTCTGTTCTTCACTATATCTAAACCTTTTATCATCTTCTTTACTTTGCAGCCGTTTTATGAAATCTCTATAAGAACTTTTTATTTCGTCAGATGTACGTTGCCTCAATTTTCGAGTCCCTTCATCCTCCCGTTCGAGCTGCTCTTCAAAATGTGGTTTCTGTTTTTCTGCGAATTCGGCGTCTCTCTCCTGGCATAGTCTGTCCCATTCTTCATATCTCGTTATTTCTTTGCGATCCTCGGCAACCTCCCTGGCGTGCTTTTCTATTACGTATTGTCTATAAGGAACACAGGACTGTGCAAAAAGCACATGCCGTCTAGTGTCTGAAAGTCCGCATTCTTTATTTTCCAGTTCTTCTCTCCGAGCTGTTGCTTCTTTCATTGTTTCCTCGTGGTGCAGAAGACGTTCGTCTTCCAATTCCAGACGACTCAACTCGTGATTTTTTCGATCTTCCGTTTGGAGCATCACCAACAGACGTTTTCGACGCTCATCTAACGATAGGTCTATGGCCGCTCGAAATTCTTCAAACTGTCGCCTAACCTTGTTCTTGAGCATATGTCTCTGAGCAGAGACATAAAACTCACCTTCTCGTTGTATCTTATCATAGTAGCCGGTTCCCCAAATGCGAATAACACCGTTTGGATCTTGAAGCATTTAGCAGCACGAACTAGTTAGAGGTTAATAAATCTACTGCTTGATGGATATTGAAAGATTCAAAATTAAATCATGTGACATCAGAACGAATGGGGAATCTCGGCAGCTCAATAAAGAAAAGGATAGAAAAAATGATGCAATACTCAGCGTTACTGGTCATCGCCTTATTTTGTTGATTCGCTTGAAAAGCGGCTACGTCCCGGTACGACTCCTAATTTCAGTAAACAGTCCGTCGATCCTCGCCCTGTGGGCACTGGACCATTCGGTAACCTTCCAGACAACACCTGAAGACCCAGTAAATCAAATGATTTTCCAGAAAATGTTTTCCTTTGTTATGTGTTGTAGGATAACAACAGACAACGCATAGAGAAGGACATCAACACAAAGCATGGCAAACCGATTATTTGAATGAAAATGTGAAAGTCGCTGATCTCCGGATTCACCCATGTAGACAACCAACCAAGCGTAAAAGTGCACACAGAAAACCGGTAGATGAAAGGTTAGGCAACACTGGTTCAACACAAAAAGAAAGGCGGATGGCGTGGAGATCGGGATGTGGTCGGAAAGGGGAAGAAACACGCTGATTAAACTCTCTGGGAAGTGAAACAGGAAGGTCCTGTGTGGTAATTCTATAGACAGACTGACTGAACGGTACGAAGGCGGCTTTCAGTGTTCCTATTCTTGGAAACGTAGAGGCGTACGTGCATTGTGTCCAAAACATCGGGGATCACGTCAATTCAATCTAAATCCTGACTTGCGGTCGAATTCCAGTTAATACAACCGATACTACTCTCTCGCTAAACAATAGTGTCTATTGCTTATCTTTCGCTGTTGAGAGCAGAATCAGTCACATATGCTGAAATTCGACTGTAGGTCAGAATTTCGACCGAATTGAGATGAACCCAATTTTTTGGATAGACTATGATCTTTTGCGCGGGTGGATACACCCGTGGAGGTTCGCATTCCCAATATTGCTATTGCGAACGGTAGCACTAGTTAGATGTTGGCTCCTTCCGATTTATCGCGAAAAAAACTACGTTGCATTGTCCGCAGGAGAAGACGATGAACGACACAGAAATTTGCAGTTTGTCCCTTCAAAAGTGCTATTTTTTGACCACAAGGTGATAGGATAAAACTACCCATGTAAGTCGAGTGGACAGTTATTGGTGTACAAAACCAACATGGATCTTGAAACACAGTTCACTCCGGGATCCCAAAATCAAGTGGCTGATGCACTCTCACGACTTCCATTGACCAAGTCAGATGAAAATGAGGATATCGAAGAGACCAAAATTATACTCACTTTAGAAGGCCGCAAATATGGTGCAATAACAGAAGCTTATTGAAGAAACATTCGGAAACAGATCCAACACTGACTCAAATAATCCGATTCTTAGGGTCAAGATGGTCAGAAAGACGACCGATTTCCCCAGACATTTTCTTATTTCATGGCCATAAATACACTCTAACCCCTACCCCTGCTGATCACCCCTATTACTCACCGCTCGTGGAGAAACAGTTTCACTTTATTCAACAATTGACCTCGCGCTTTTGTACTCTGCCTTCGGTTACTATCTTCCGGAATCGTCCGTTAAAAGGCGAAAAGAACAGAAGCATGGTGATAAAGATAAAATAAGTCAAGTAACCAAGGGGAAATCAAGACCAACTTGAAAGAGTCCTGGTGCAACTACGCCACTGACGTGTTCATACATTTCTACCATGTCATGGACCGACCATCTCAACCTACCTTCCAACCACCACCTGCCTCAAGGAACAGCGTACGCTGAGGAAGTCTATCGGTTGGCATACGTAACAAGTCCCAGTCACCTTAACTTGCTTAGATACAGTACTTGTTCCAGTGGTTTACCATTGGCTCCCGACACCCTATGCCTGACCTCAGCATTGCTGATACGGTGTTCCCACCATATTCGAACAACGCTACGGAGACATCGATGCTCGAGCACCGACAGTCTTCGCCTATCTTCTACCCTTGACGGCCATGTTTCTGAGCGGAGCAGAAGAACGGACCTAACCACCTCAGTGTACACTCGACCCTCAACAGATAATCGGATGTCACACCGGCGCCACAGATGACGGAGGTTGGCAAAAGCCAAACGCGTCTTCTGTATACGCGATGACACTTTATCCGATATCTGTCCACCTAGTGAGATGTTACTGCCCAGGTTACAAAACTTATCTACTTCAGCTAGAGCTTACCCTGCCAACACAAGGTTTGGTGTTGAGCCAACCCAATCCTGCAACAGCATTTTACACCTTGAAGGTGCGAAACGCATCTCAAACATTGCTACTCTGTTGTTTAGGCTATCTAAGGAAGCTTGGAACTTACCTGGATCTTCACTCAGGAAAACAGTATCGTCCGCATATTCCAAATAAAACAGTTTACTGCCTGAGCAAAGATCGACGCCGCTATTCTCACACGAGGATAGGGCTTGTAGCGTACTACTCTGTCTATATAGTACACTAAATTAATGTCAACAATATCTAAGACGACAGTAGCAAACTAAGATGGGCGGAGGAGCGTGCGGTGATAAAAAGGCCAAAAGGGTATGTACATTAAGAATTCAAATGAAACAAAAGGTGTGACCCAAACTCACAGTTGTTCAGTGCTCTTGTGGTCAGGAAATGAGCGCCGAATAGCCAATATCCGCTAATGTCTTCAGTTCAGTTCGGTCTGACAGCCTTCCGTTGAACAGAACAGTGTGGTATTGAGCGAAGTGCCAAGAGACGCCGTTGAAGCTTCTAAAAATGTTTTATTTCATACAGTTAGTTCCGACCGATATAATTCCAAGACACTCCAAACCAGAAGATGAGACCGTGCCAGAATGAAAGATTTATTTACAACCTTTTTTGTATTGCGCGGTGATGAAGACCAAAAGGGTGTATGTTTTTACATTAAAACGTCGGTACAACAAAAGAGTGTCGCACCGAGGTACGTTGAGAATCATGGAAAAAGTCGGAAATGTACAGGTACCTACAGGCTATTTCAAAAATCAATTCAATCACGAAATTGAAGAGGAAGGGTGAAAGAGGGCAACCCTGACGAACACTTCTTTCCGTGATGAACTCAGGGGAAAGACCGCCGTAAGCACAAACTCAGCTTCGACTGTTCGCATTCAAGCATTGGAAAAGAGAAATAAACTTCTCTGATACACCATCCAGTGAGAGGCAGCGCCAGAGAACTGTGCGGTTGACCGAGTCGAAAGCCGTTTTCAGATCAAGAAAGATAGAGATTGTGGGATTACGGAAGATGTGTCTGTGCTCTAAGGTTTTCTGAAGAGTAAAGATACGGTCGATACAACCCCGACCGGATCTGACACCGGCTTGGTTCTCACTCGTACACATTTCGCGATCATTGGATAATCGGTGGAGAATGAGCCCGGTGAGCAGTTTGGATGCGATACTTACCAAGCTAATTCCTCTGTGGTTTTCACAAGAGGATCTGTCACCTTTCGTATAAATCGGCACAATCACCGATTCATACCATTCCCTCGAAATTTGCTCATTATCCCAAATGATACGGAGGAGTTTTGTTAACTCCGAAACCAAGGTTTCTCCTCCATTCTTGAAAAAAGATGGAGACAACCCATCCGGCCCACCGGCTTTATACCCGTTCAAGTAACCTACCTCCTGGATAACCTCCATTTCTGATGGAGGGGTGATATCCAGCTGCATCGTTCCTCTGGCAGGTATATTTGGAAGGTTCACTGTAGAAGTGGGCCAACTGAATTGTTCCCTAAAGTGCTCCGCCCAACAATCTAGACGACGTCCCTGAGAGTGAATCAGTGAGCGGTCGGATTTCGTAATTACCTCACTTACACCAGGCTTCCGTGGACCGGTACCTCTAGTCAAACGGAAAAGGTTGCGAGCATTGCCAATGGACGCGGCCTTTTCCGTTTCCCTACATTTCACAATCCACCACTGCTCACGGTCATTTCTCAAGCTCCCTGTCCCAGATGGTATATTCACAATTCCTAGTGGTGGTACTCATTTCACAAAGCTTGACTTGGTTGAAGCCTACTTCCAAATGGAAATTGCCACACGATCCCGTCCCATCCTTACAATCAATGCGCATCGGGATGTTTACCAATTCAGTGAGCTCACCCTTGGCGTCAAAACGGCTGCGGCTTTGTATCAGCTGGTAATGAACACCATGTTAGCTGGACTTCCTGGAACTGCTGTAAATCTAGACGACATCATATGCACGGGATAGCCTCTGGATGAACTCAGTAAACGTCTTATTGGCTTATCGAGACGCGTCCAGAATTTTGGCTCACTCGTTCGACTCGAAAAATGCCAATTCTTCCTGAAGTCTGACAAATACTTGGGATTCATCTTCGATGCCAGTGGGCGACACCCAGATCCCAAAAACATTCGCGCAGTGCTAAAAATTCCTTTCCCAACCGACGGGTCATCCTTAAGACCATTCTAGGGTCCCATTGGTTACTACAGTGCGCTCTTGCCTGATCTACATATAGTAAGTACGCCACCCGACCGTCTGCTACGTAAAGACACTCCATGAAATTGGTCGGAGTTGTGCCAGAGATACTCTGAGCAGTTAAAATAAATACTAATTTCTGACTTGTTACTAAGACACCAAGATCCAAAACTGTCAATCACGGTGGCTACTGATGCGCCCATATGTGGTATTGGTGCAGTTCTCTCACGCACGTTTCCCGATTGGTCCAAAAAGGCGTGGCACATACCTCCCTTACTCTAACGCCCATGAAGAACCACGGGTAGATAGAAGAAGAAGCATTGGCTCCCGCTTTTGCGGCCAAGGTGTTTCACAAATTCCTTCACGGTCGTCATTTCATTTTAATCACAGACCATAAACCATTATTTTTAATCTTCGGATCCAAAAAGGGTGTATCGGTGCACACTGCCGTCTGCAACGCTGCACCATAATTTGAATAGGATATAATTCTGAAGTCCCCTCACCGCAAAACAACTGAGTTTGGTCATGCCGATGGGTTCCCATG